ATATATATTTTTTAATTCTTTATTGAAGAGATCAGGGAGGCATACATTACACAGTTACACATTCATATTTCCACAATCCACCATTACAAGAAAGGGACATGCTGTAATGTCTGGTACATACATAGTGCTGCACAATAGCAGATTTACATTGTTCCATGAGTGGGGCATCTAGAGTCAGATGTAGTGTACAGCCATAATATGTCTGCTCCCTGAATCTAAGGATTTGAACATAGTAACAATTCCCAAACAATAAAAGAGAAAAAAAATATAGAAGAAGAGGAAAGAGGGGAAAAAAAGTGGGGCAGGGAGAGGGGGGTATAAAATACATTTCTATACACACGTACATTCATATACACACATGCAAAGACACACATATTGATACACATACACAAACACATATAAACACATGTGCAAAAAAGAGCAATACCTCACGAGTAAGGAAACTTGAGCAGGCTGTTCCCTAGTTTGCTAGTCTGTGATGAAGAACACTAAAGGAGTATACTGTTAGTAAAAACAAAACAAAGAAGGTGGGTGTTGTCTAACTCTAAAGGAGAACAACTTTTAAATCATAAGTTAAAGTCCAGTATTTTATATTTTCCCCTAATTTCCTTATTTAACACAGTATTTGGTTTGCACATTATTTTATTGAAAAAAAAATGTTTTTGATTGGGATGGGATTTTTTATTTATAAACTAGGGCTTTGGGTAGAAGGGTGACCCTCTACTGACAGATGGGTATTATTACCCAGCTTCTGTACCTCTGCTCACACAAGTTTAAATATCTACACCTAGTGCAAGTATCACGTAGCATTGACTAATATGGCTCCAAGTGGTTGACATGAGAACACCGTTTCTTTCTGCTTTCTTTTTTTCTCTCCTTTAAGAGAATGCTAGGAATTGGCTGCATCAGATGAGTGACTTTATTATGTATTTACTGCCTTCCAATAGATTTTATTTTTTATTAATTTGAGAAACTATAGACTTATAAAAACCCTTATAAAAAGCTAGAACCCTTCGGTCTGGTGGTGGACCAACAATTATTTATTTAGGAATGTTTGTGAGAGCTATGTGTACGTAAATTAAATATTTCATTTAACTATTATTATTACTGGTATTTATAAAGCGCCAGCATAGTCCGAAGCGCTTTACAATATTATCAAAAGGGAGATTTAACAATAAATGAGACAATTCCAAAAACTTACAGGAACAATAGGTTGAAGAGGGCCATACTCAAACAAGCTTACAATCTATAGCAGTTGGGGCATAAAACACAACAGGACAGAAGCAAATTACTTGTCTTCTTTGTACTTCCTCATCCTCTGCTTCCTCTATATGTAAAGTCTTTCTCCTTTCAAGGCTAGTGTAGCGAAGCTCCAATACCCTGACTCGGTATCTCAGCTGATTCTTACTCGACGCTATAAGAAGCACTGCTCAGTGATCATAGCTCTTCCCCCCAGTAACTAGATGACCCATAGTTCTGGGAGTCTGCAAAAAGAGAAAAACAAAACAAAAAAACTAACCACACTCAAATCACATGAAGATCCGGGTGCTAAACTGGACCAAGGACCAGCATCAGCCCCAGGGAGTAGATATCAGTGGTAGAAAGAGGATCCAGACACTCCAAGTATCTTCAATTTTATTTATTTGGAGTTTCTGGTTCCTCGTTCTACCACTGATCATTCTGGGAGTCAACAGATTTTAATGAGCCAAACTTGGCCTTTTATGCACAGACCCCAGCAGGGGTCCTCCAAACAATGCAATGCAAGCCCTTCCCAGGAATCTCTGGGCTTGGGAGATAACGAGTTAAAGACCAATAAGCTAATTTTACAACATGACAGGAGGCTTCATATTTTGCATTAACTCTCTTTACTAACTCCACACAGCAGTAAAGAAAAGTGAGAAAAACATTAACCAATCAAAAATGCAGTAGGAGGTACAATATTCACAGTGATGAGGCTCCTCCCCCTCTTTCTTTACTGCTCCATCAGCAGACAGGTCAGAGTTTTGGCTCTTCCCTTTTACTTATTATTTTTGCTCTATATTACATTTGTAGTTACTGTATTTCTATGTACTGTATATTTGTATTTACATAGGTAGTTACTATACATCTTCTTATAGACGTTTTACTCTCTGGGACTTTATCCCTTGGGGAGGGGTTTTTTTTTCTCCTTTTGTCCCTTTCTCAGGGCTTTTCCCTTACCCCCCTTTCGTTCCCACGCGGTCCGCCGGCTTTTCCCCGCCGTCGGACCGACCGTTTTCCTCCTAACTGAGGGTAACGCTCACCCTCCTCCACCCGTTCCCCACCTCGCGGCTTCACAGCCGCTCTGTTTCTACCGCACGGCGGGAAATTACTTCCCGTTTTTTCTCCGGCGGCCATCTTGGATCTCGCGTCTCGCGAGATCCACGGCCGCCATCTTGGGAGCATTGCGGTCTCTTCATTTCGGCACCCGATCACCTCAATACCGGACGCAATCAGGCAGGGGTCCCCAGGTCAGTCAGCCTTCCCATATAAGGTTATAAACTGTGCATTGGGGTGAGGCCCCATACTGATTATCATTACTGGCTCTCCAGTGTATTTATGTGCCATTTTGCTACATTCAGGGTGAGGCCCTATCATCTAATTACCGCTGCTATCAGGTGGATTTTGTGCCACCTATATATGTACATGCATATATAACTGGGTGAGGCCCAGAAAAAACCCAATATCCCCTGCTGGGGGAAACTGGTGCTTTTGCTGCCAGATTTATCATTCTCACCCTGCCGGGGTGCTTATTCCTATTTTATTGTTATTATACATATACACACTACCCTGCTGGGGTTGCCTGGGTACTGCAGGTACCTTTTCACTCACTGGGATTGACCCCTAGCCCAACGTTTACTGTGCTTTCTCTATTACAGCGGTCCTACTCCTATCATTATGGATACACCCCAAAACCCTGCGGATTTCCAAACCATGATCGCGGAAGCCATCTCCGCCTCTATGGAGAAAGCGTTATCCAGGGTTATGACGGCAACTGCCGATCAGGCTAAAAAAGTCACAAAAGCCCAAGCCCATGACTATGATTCTGAGGCTTCAGAATCCCATACGCAGGCCGACTCACGGCCCAGCAAACGCCACTGGAAGGGCGAAAAAAGGACTGACAACCCGGGCAAAGGCAAGGCACCGGCCAAACGCCACAGGCCAGTCCCACCCACTCCCGCCCACTACTCCTCAGATGAGGGGGAAGAACACACACGCTCCATGGCCGTGTTGGACGAGTGGCAGGCCGCAGATTCTGATTCACAAGATAATGACTGGGGTTCGGACACAGGATCCCATACGGGCCTCCTGCAGGGCACCTTTTTGGACGACACCCAACTGCCGGATGACCCCACACCAGTCCATGACGAAGGGGAAGCCATCCTGGACCCCACGGGCCAGCGTCTATTCGACCCTCGCAATATACGACACCCGCGTTCGGGGGACTGGACCCCCCCGGATCATCTCTCCAAATTTATGCATCGTTGGCTCCGCAAACCCCTGGACAAAACGGTGCGCAACCGACTTCGTTCTGAATGCCCTCGCCCTTCCCTTCCCGACCACGTGGCTCAGACTCCCGAATTCGACCAGGTCATGAACACATTCATGTCTCGGGGTGGCCGTGACCCCAGGAGAGGCGTTGAAAAAGGATTCCATGGAGCTCAGGACAAACTCCTAGACTCCATTGGCCCACTTTCCCGTATCATGTTTTTGGCTGACGATGCTTTTACAAGGGCTGAGGAATTTGATGCCAGTATGGTTAAAGAGTGGGCACATGATATACGAGAATGGGCACAGAGGTAAAGCAGCGCTGCTCCGTATTGACGGAAAGCTGGTGGAATTGGGCACCAAGGAGTTGGGACCGCTTGCACAGGGCAAATTGTTTGGGGAGGCCTTCCTCAAGGAACTGAACAAGCATGTAAACATTTTCACCTCACTAAATAAGGCTCACACTTCCATGAAGCGAGTCGGGGTGTCGGGGTGTTTTTGGACGGGCTGGCCGCTACAGGGGCCGAGCAGCCAGCCGTTTTTGGCCTTCTGGCCCCCGCTCGCACAGACCCCAACCCTTCTACCCAGAAGTGGGTTTCAGACAGCCCTTCTCCTACACCCGAGGAGCCGACAGAGGCAGAGGACCTCGTAACCGTGGCAGAGCACGCTTCTCCACAGGTAAGCACCTTAGTGTCTCAATGTCCACTTACCCCATGTACTGCAGGTCGTATTGCTCTGTCTTTTCAGAACTGGACAGCCATCTCCACGGACGCATGGATCCTCCAGACGGTTCGGGGCTACGTCATAGATTTCGTGGAAACCCCGTTCCAGACCGCCCCTCCGCACCCCATTCACTGTTCCAAGAAAGATCGCCACTTAATCGATGGCGAACTACGGGAACTCAAGGAAAAAGGAGCGATAGAACCCGCTCACGACCAAAACGGTTTCTTCAGCAACATTTTCCTAGTGAAGAAAAAATCTTTTCCGGCCGGTTATAAACCTGAGGGGGCTCAATGCCTTTGTACTGTACAGACATTTCAAGATGGAAGGCATCCACCTTCTACGAGATCTGCTCCAGGACGGGGACTGGTTCACAAGACTGGACCTCAAGGACGCCTACCTCTCGGTACCCGTCCATGCTTCCTGCCGACAATTCCTCAGGTTCCGATGGCAAGGTCACCCCTGGCAATTCACGTGCCTCCCCTTCGGCCTCAGCTCAGCACCGTGGTGTTTCACCAAACTACTGAAACCAGTAGTGCCTCGACTACGAAGTCAAGGAATTCGGTGCATTATCTACCTGGACGACCTGCTACTGTTCTCCTCAGACAGGTACAGTCTAACGCAACACACACGATATACCACCCGACTCCTCACATCCCTAGGTTTCGTGGTG